AGGAGACTGAGGAAAACAGAGGTTAAGTGACTTGCCCGAGGTCACATAACTAGTGCCTGAAGCCAGATTTGAACTCAGGTCTTCCTAACTCCAGGCCAGCAAACTATGCAGGAAGTAGAAAACGAATATTGACCTTATTTGAAAGGCTCTCAGCAACTTTAAGGTTTTCACATCAAAAATGATCAAGAACCTCTAACAAGAGCTTGTTCCAGAACATGTAGTTTACCAGGTTTCTCCATGTCTATCAAAGCCTTTGCTGATTCTTCTCCTGCTGTCAAAATACAGTCACTACTATTCACCGTAATCTTCCATGTTACAGCAATCCTGAGGAACTAAGTGAACTACTTACTTACTTCAGGCATCCAGAAGCCTCAAACTTATGTGTCATCATGCTATGCTTACAAATATTGCATCCTTTTAGGAAGCAGTCCTTCAGCTACAACACAAACCAGATACGCTATCTTTTCACTCCCACGAAACAACTGTATGAAGCAAACCACTCTTACGAAACAAATCAAGTACCTAAGATCCTATATTACAATTCAACAAGCATTTGCTAAGTTCCTACTATGTGTGAAGTACTGTACTGTGCTAGGGACTGGGGATGTTAAAAAAAAAAAGTTAATAGCCTCTGCTGTCAAGGAGATGACATTTCTTTTACGTAATTTAAGGCATATAATTCAATACCTATGTTTCCATGTTTTCTCTCCAACCTAGTACAATAAAGACAATGGAAAGTATTAGAAAGGGCTCGACAAAGGACAGGTAGAGTCCACTGGCTTAATATGCATGGGAAATCAACCCAAGAGAACTGAATTTGAATTCAAAGGATAGAAGCAAAAAAGATACAAATGGAATAGGAAAAGCGAGACCAGTGTAAAGAGAACATTACAGGTATAGCGTAACTTCATTAACCAACTCAAATTTTTAAATTTTTAAAAGCACAAAAAACAAAAGCAAAGCTAGGTAAACTGAAGATGAATACAAAATAGAATAGAATAGTCCTATAAGAGTCCTGATAGGATCTTTAATCTTCAGAGTGAACTGAGGCTAGCAATTCATGCAAGGAACAACACAAGATGTTTCTTGTTTTTATGCTTTTAAACTAAGTACATAAGGGCAATAGGAACATCAGAAAAGAGATAAGACAGTTGCTCAGAATGGGTGAGATGAAGATAAATATTGAACTGCCCAATTCCTATTCTGTTTATGTGTTTTCTTCCAAAGAGAATGGTCTTTAAGCTGGAAAATAAAGGACAAAAGTAGTTAACAAGGAACTGAAATTAAAGAAGAAAGTTGAAAAGACAGAACCTAGCCTGCTAGGTAAACTATATTCATTTTATTCATTCAACAAACTATCATCAAGCACCAATTATGTCCAATTACGTTGTTTTGACTTAATAAACATTTATTAAGTGTCATGTACCAGTAACTGTGCTAAACACTGGGTATACCAAAAGAGGCAAAAGACAGTCCCTGACCTTAAGCTCATAATCTAGTAGATGAGACAACAAGCAGACAAATATATGCTAACCCTCTTCAGGAAAAAAGAAAATAATTAGAAGACAGAAGGCATGAGAATTAAGAGAGGTTGGAAAAGACTTCTTGTTAAAGGTGGGATTTAAGCTAAGACTTGAAGGAAGCCAACATAGTTGGAGAGGAGGAGGGAAAGCATTCCAGGCTTGGAGAACAGACAGAGAAGATAGACAAACCCTCTTGTTCCACGAACAGCAAGAAGGCCTGTGTCACGGTTTGAAGAGATGTAAAACAACAAAAAAAAAGTGGGAAGAGCTAGATTAAGAGGCACTGTGATAGGTATTAGGGATATAAATACAGCCCTCAAGGGGCTTCCCTTCTACTGGAGCTGATAATATGTAAATAGATAAAGTTAAATACTATACATAATTTGAGGAGGAAGAAAACCTCCTCTAGGAATATGGCCTAAATTGAGCCTGAAAAAAGTAAGGCCTCTTAGACTCAGAATAAGTGCATCCCAAGTATGCATTACAGTCTATGCCAAGGAAAAAAATGCAAAAGAAAATATTGAGTTGGGTTGTACAGTTATGGATGACAAGATCAAAGGTATGACCATCCAACTCTATGTTTGGCTAAGGTACAGTGAATGAGTAGGTACTATGAATTGAGGCTAAGGAACTAGAAGGTCAAAACCTTTAAGGGAACATTAAAAAATATACTGAAGTTCTTAAGTTTGTGGGCAGAGATTGAGTGGGTGAAGAGAACTGTGAGTCAGGCACTGAATTCCTTGACAAAGAAGGGAGAATGACTTGGAAGCTAACAAAGACTGCAACATGAATTTAGATAGGATGACGTAGATGCATAGAGCAACTCTCAAAGAAAAGGAGCTGCTTTTTGATGGGGGGACATAAGGAGATTCTGGAAGCAATGAGAAGTAAGGAATATGCCTACTTGTCTTACTGGCCAGTGTGTCCAGGTAAATTTGAGAAAGTGCTGTAGAATGTAGCCTGGAATGCAAAGTCTTTGGAGGAAGTCAAGTTTCTGTGAGTTCAAGAAGATACTTTTTCCCCTCGGGATAAGAAATGCTATCAAATGAGTAATCAATCAAAAACAAAAATGAGAGCTATTTTGAAGAATTAAAAAGATTCTAACAGCATCATTACCCTTCAAAGTACTTTTTAAAAAATCACCATGATCAAGCAATATTTAACTCACTCTCCAGAACAGGCCAAGGCTAATTAATATGTTTTTTAAGAGCTGGTGGATACTTTCCACACTTATGCAAAATTAGGGTTGAAGGAGGGGAAGGGAAAGAAAATAATTTCATTTGTTGATCAATTGTGCGTGGAGAAGACTTTCTAATCCTACTGAAGGAAAAAGACATTTAATAACAACATCTCTAGGTATCTGTGAGAATAAAATCTACAAGGGAAGTGATGTTGGGAAGACAGGAAGGGAAAAAATACTAAACTATATATTGATGAATATTGCTGGTAAAGGATACGGCTGAATGTTGACTATCTTAGTAAATTATACAAATAAATTTACAAGGCAGCCTTTCTAAACTACTTGTGTCAATCTGCTACTCTTTGTTACGGAAGTTTGAGGATGGTTACTTTAATACTTATAATAACAAACTTAATGACAACGTTTGAAAGCCTTTCCAAATAAATAATATATCTAGCTTATCATAAATTACTCAAACTGTATTTCTTTCAATAAACACTGATGTCTAAATGCTTTGCAAATATTTATCACTACCAATGTTGGGTATAACATTTTAAGACCTTTTCAATAGAAGATATGCTATTATTTGATATATCATCCTTCCTACTAAACAAATAGACTTGCACCAAATTATAACAATTAGAATATAATTTTCAGGTAAAAATATTGTAATAATAAAATAAATTAAAAATTTCTGGCATTCTGTAAAGGTCCCAGCACAACCCAAAAGTACAGAATGCCCACCCCTAGTTCTACAGAACTCAGAACATGTAAAACATGCTCTCACAGACCTGTAAAGCAAAGTCTGCTTCATTAAATCCTTTCTCTTCCAACTCTATTTTCCATCACTCTAGTGAGTGATGGAAACACTTAAGAAAGAGTATAAGAAGCCACAGCTGCTCCTAAACTGCCCTCCTACTGCTCTATTTACTTTGACTAAATTAAAAGAAATAAATGTTACAAATTCCCTGGAAACATTTTCTACCTCTGGAAATTAACCAGCAAACTGAAAGAACAATATAAAACCTATCAAAGAACTGTTATCACAACTACAAACTTTCAACTGGCCTTTATCCAAGCACCTAAGAAATCCTAAAACTCAGAGATAGAAAGACAGATTTTCCTTCTTGTTAAACTATTATTAGAGGAACCTTTATAGCATTAGCTCTGTGGAACCTCCCCCTATAGGAAAGGCAGAAATTTTAAACTCACTGGTGCTGGCCTCAGCCAAAACTGAAAGGTTGGAAACTTTATGTACCCACCCCACTAGCATTAAGGTCCATATTCTTAAGTGCCTTGGATCCTTAGGATGACCAGGCCTGCCCACTCAAGCAGAACTGTCCTCAATCAGCACTGCTCCTACTTTATACCTCTCTCCTTCCATTAAAGCCTTCGAAGTCAAAAGTATTTTATAAACCACTTAATATTACCATTGTAAATAACAGATTATGGTCACCTGTTACCAATCCCAAGGGTACTGGTATGTTACCAGAGCATAAAACCCAATGCAATTAATTTCTACTAGTAGAATTTCAATAATTAGCACACTGCAATGACTGAAATAGTTTTCAGGAACTTCGAAAAATACTTTTCAAATCACATGAGAGTTGGTCCCAAATCAGAGCTATCAGTTCTCTACTTATGACCAATGAGACACATTTACCAAAAAAAAAAAAAGGTCTGGGAGGGGAAAAGGAGAGAGGTTTTAGTATGTAAGGGAATGAAGTCAATCAATCAATCAACAAGTATTTATCAAGGATCCTACCATGAACCAGAAACCATACTGGGTATATATACATAAATTAAAATGAAACCGTTTTTATCCGCAAATACAGCAGAGGAGTCGGCCAGGGGCTTTTCCCATTTTTCTTTGTGTACCTGTCAAGTGGGAAGGAAGGTACTCAGAGACCAAAGATGGCTGGGTAATACCTTCTACAGAGCTCCTATTTCCGAGAGCCCGAGGCCTAACATCTGCCTAGCAAAACTGTTTCTCCCATGCTCCCACCTCCCGATGGAGGGGATGGACTGACGCCGCAGACTGACCCACACTGGGGGCACGACCAAGCCTGACTGCGTCCATCTGTTACAAGGCTTTGGGGCTTTCTTTTTTCTCAATGCCGAGGAGAGAGAGAGGAGAGAGATTTTGCCCAGCGAAAAAAACGTAAACCAAAAAAGGACGCGCGCTGGGGGGCTCCGGCCCCGGCCTCCCGCCCGCCCACCGCTACCGCCACTGCCCCGGCCCCGCTCCCCCCCTCTCCCGCAGGGCCCAGGCTCCGTGACAGGCAAGGCCAGCTCACCGACTCGGCCGCCGCCTCCTGCTCGTCCACCGCCAGGGCCCACGAGTCAGTGGCCATGGCTCCCGGCCGGTGGCCCGGGCTGGACGGCCGCCGCCGCAGGGAGGGGTCCAGGGCCGGCACGGAGGACCCCATGAGCAAAGGCTGAGCCTGGAGGGGGCGGGGAGCGCCGGTTACCAGAAGCCGGGCAGGGCGCAGGGCCGCCACTTCCGTTCCGAGGCGCCGGGCCACGCCCCCGGACCCGCCCCAAGAAGCCGGGCCACGCCCCCTCCAGCCCATCAGGGGGCGGGGAGAGGAACCGGCAGTTTCAAAGAAGAAAATCCAGCTGTCACCAAGCCTACAAAGAGGCTCCAAATCACTAATAATTAGAGAAGTGCAAATAAATCGAGGCAACTTTGGTTTCCACCTCAAATCTGGCAATGACGCTTATAAACTGTGTATCCTGGGGAAGCTACTTAACTGCTCTTGGCCTCAGTTTCCTCATCTGTAAATCGGAGGATGGGGAATAAAAGGTCAAGAACCTCAAGAAAAATAATGGAAAAAAAAGTAAAAAGAAATACGTTTAGCAGAACCAGATCTCAAATTATACTACAAAAACTGATTACCGAAGCTATTTTAGTATGGTTTAAAAACAGAGCAACTGATCAATGCATACAGAAGCAAATGAATACAGTAGCACACTCTCTGATAAACCCAGACTTCCAAATCCCAGGGCAAGAACTCACGATTCCACCAAAAACAATGGGAAAAGTAGAGAGCAGTCTAGAAGATTCTTGGGGCAGACCAACCAATCCCAATAGATATTTGACTTAGATAAAGTTTTTATCAAAAAAAAAAAAAATCAGAGGAGCAAGGAAGAAAACACTTTCACAATTATCAATAAGGGAAGAGTTCAGGACCAAACAAGGGTGACATTTTGATTACATAAAATTAAAAAAAGTTTTGCACAAACAAAACCAATGTAGGTAAGATTATAAGGGAAACAGTTAACTGGGGGGGGGGGGGGAAATTGCAAAAAGTTTCTCTGATAAAGGTCTCACATCCATAATACATAAGGAACTAATTCAAATTTATAAAACAAGAGTCATTCCCCAGTACATCAAAGATAAAACAAAGATATGAACAGGTAGTTTTCGAAGGAAAGAATCCAAGCTGTCAACAAGAATATGAAAAGATTCTCCAACTAATAATTAAAGAAAATAAAAATTAAAACAACTCTAAGGTTCCACCACACCCATCAGATTGGCAAAGATGACCAAAAAAAGGAAAAAGACAATCACTGCAGGGTTGAGAGAAAACAAGCACATCTATGCACTGTCTTCAGTGCAGCTGTGCATCGATCCAGACATTTAAGAAAACAATTCGGAATTAGGCCTCAGAAGTCAATGAACGGTGCATATGCCCATAGATGCCACCACTAGGCCTACACTCAAAGACACCAAGGAAGAGGAAAAGGAATTGGTATGTACAAAAAATGTTTATAGAAGCTCTTTTGGTTACATCGAAGAACTGAAAACTAAGGGACTGCCCCTCAATTGTGGAATGGCCAAATAAATTATAATAAAGGAATGCAACTGAATACTACTGCAACCGAGAGAAATTATGAAAGGGGCAGTTTCAGAGAAATCTTGGAATACTTGGATGAAGTGATTGTGGATTGAAATGAAGAGAGCTACGACTGGGGATGTTGGAACAAACTGTGGTAGGCAAATATAATGGAACATTATTATGCTGAAGAAACTACAAAAAGGATAAAGATTTACATGAACCGATGAAGAATGAGGAGGAGCAAAGAAATCAATACACACTAGGACAGCAATAAAGTAAATGTAAAGAATAATCACCACAATCAAAAGTGAAAGTTGTGACATTACAAAGAACAAACTTTCTTGATTTATTGATCAATTTTGCTGAATTTTTGGTCTCTTTTTCCCTTTTATCTTAAAAAAAAATTTTGTTATATATGGAGGAGTTCTGTGGGAGCAGGAAGGGATACAAATACTGGGAAAATATTTGCAATATAAACTAAAAGATAATAAGAATTTATTTTTAAAAAGATAACAAAAGACAACAATTTATAAAATAAGAATATGCCTTTAAAGAAAAAACTTTTAAATACTTAACTCCGATCTATGCAATTACTAATCATGATTCCAGAAGACTGATGATGAAGTATGCTACCTACCTCCTAACAAAAAGGTGATAGGACTCAATAAAATATTTTTGGACATGGGAATATGTTTTGCTTGACTGTGCATACTTTTTGTTACAAGAGTTTTTTCTTTCTTTCTTTTTTTCTAATGGAGGTGGGGAGGCAGAGGGAGGCTGAGGCTAGAATTGGTGGAAGGAAGGAAGTAAATGGGAAGTATTGAAAGTTTTTTTTTAATACACAGAAGCCAGAAGTATAGTAGGACAGCTTTTGAAAGTTACATGTTGAATTTAACAGATTTCCCCCAAAATGCAGTTTTAAGCTTAATAACTTCAGAGGTATAAATGTTACAAACTATACAAAATTATTGCCATGTCTCATTAAAATTAAATATTATTCAAAATTCAAAAAAGCATAACAGAAATTTATTTAACTTTCAAGTGATTTTTTTTTAAAGTTGTAGCATTTGTGTGATTTTGAAGTTAAAGTTTAAAACTGCACTAAAACTTTTGGGATACCCTATATACTTAAAAAGAAAAATAATTTGCACCAAAATAGAGATTTGTGGTTTCATGTACATTATATTCTGTTCCCCTTTGAATTGGGAAATGCTAATTTTATTCAGTATTTAAATTTTTTAAAAAGATTGGTTACTACTGTTCAGGCTGCTTCCTAACCCAAACAGGTTTTTTAATTTATTTTTATGAATAGAAATTAACTACCACTTTGTAATTCTTTCATTTTTCACCCAAAACATCAAAAGCTAATTCTTTAATTTTTAAAATTCCTAAGCTCAGGAACTGTCCAACCACTGAACCAATCTATATTCCTACACACATAATGAACAGAGGACTGATATATGACATTTACAAATCATATGCTTTTGGTTATAGCTGCTTAACTGCTAAAATAGGCAGTAAATAAATAGCCTGAAAATAAGGGCAGTTAGGTGGGACCTGGAGTAAGGAAGAGCTACCTTCCTGAGTTCAAATCTGGCCTCAGACACTTTCTATCTATGCGACCCTTGGCATTTAACCCCATTTGCCTCAGTTCCTTTATCTATAAAATGAGCTAGAAAGAGGAAATGGGGTCAAGAAGAGTAGAACATGACTGAAAAACAAAAAGCCTGAAAGTAGGTTACTATTTTCAGCACACATGAATAACTTTTAACATACACCAACACTTTCATAGGATCACAGCACCCAGCCTTCTAAACTTCCCATGTCACTGAGAGAGAGCAGGGCAGTTGCAACAGCACTGAATTTTAAATCAGAGAACTTGAGTGCAAATCTCTTAGTTCTGCATTTGGAGGCAGAGGAACTTGGCTCACTTCAATCTCAGCTCTGCTACTTAGTGCTTGCTAGCATGCAAGTCCCTTAATCTCTCTGGGCCTCCCACTCCTTCTCTGTACAATGAAGAGGTAGGTCTACATGCCCTACCTTCAGCTCCAAGTTGTAGGATCCTTTGTGGCAAATCTGGGTGATACCTTATTTTGTTCTCTCTCTATGATGAGCAAAGCTGTACAACAAATGTTTTCCTGATACTTGTTAGAATTACTCTTAACAAAATCTCTAAATGCTGTGCTGTTCATTCTGTAGGAAGGAAGACTGAGGAGCAATAATTACGCTCCAACTCTTCTCCCTCCTTCCCACTTTAAACACTCCAACTACCTGTTCAGACTCCCCAAAACAGAAAAAGAGAATAAATAGCACGGTTACCACCCAGAGCCTTAGAAGAAGAGAGGGAGCCTGGTGTCACCTTCCTTTTTCTTCCCCCTGGGTTCAAACCTTTTTTGGTTGCTCTTTCCAATTCCTTTTACTCAGGTCCTGTAGACTCAAACGTGATTTCATCTTAACTCAGTTTCACAATCTCCAATTACCTTGGAGATCTTGTAGATTTAGTAATCATAGAATTCTTCCTATCCCCTGTTGTTGTAGGCTGGGACACTGAACAACTGGCGTCCAAACCAGGCCCATGCTCAAATCCCACCCCAGACACTTGCTAGCATGTACGGTCCTTGTCCAGTTACTGACCCTTTCTCTACCTTAATTTTCTCATCAATAAAATTGTGGGGGCTGGACCCAAAGATCTTGGGCCAGGGATTAGTCCACACTCCCTTTCTTCCTTCATCATTTAAGAAGCTGCTCCAGGTGACTTCAGAAGGGTCCGGCCTGAGAGGCCTGAACAGACTGCCCACAGGCCTGGCCTTCCTCCTGCTCCTTTCTCCATCTCCTCCCCAACAACACTTACATCCCCCATACTCCCCAGGCACCAACAACACTCACATCCCCCACAGGCAGGGCCAGGGAGAAGAGGCCCAGAGCCCGGCCTCGGGCTCGGCCACTCCTGCTGGCCATGGATGGCCTCCACAGCTCCCCGGGGGACAGTGGCAGTTAGAGCAGCTCCAACTGCCATCCTGGGCAGGGCCCACATGTGAAGGAGGCTGTCATTGGCCAGGAGGAAAATGGATGGGGAGGACAGCCAATCAGGGCCAGGGAAGACCCCTCAAAAGCAGCTGGTCCTTGGTGGTGCAGACATCTTGATGAGGCTCGGAGAGCCTCAGACCTGGGGAAGCAAGAGAGGCCCAAGGGTGGCCAGACCCCAAAGGCACCCTCAGCTTACCCCCCAGGGCTGCAGATTCTTTCCCCCAGGCACCCTCTGGAATGGCAGCAACCACACTTCTAAATATCTGTAGGCCAGAGTCAGCATGGGGCCAGGCTACCAAGCCCCCCTCACCATCCCGGGGTCGGTCGCCCAGCTCTTATGAAGTGAGCCAGGGGACTGCCAAGTGAAACTGAGGCATCAAAGAACTGGTTCTACGCCTGTTTAAAGGTCTAGTTCCTGATGTATCATCTGCTCCTACAAAACACTGGCAGAAAAAAGCCTGGGAGCCCCTCAGCAAGGCTGCGGAGGCCTTTCGCAGTATGACTTCAGCACCACTTTTCTAAACTTAGGTTTAATTAAACAGGAACTCTCTCCTCCAGCCACGCTGCTAAGTTCCTCCACAAACCCTACCATCCTTC